GAACATCCTATCTCTGTCCACCTTGTCTATTCCCCGCAGTATCTTATATGTCGTTATCATGTCTCCCTGACCCTTCTGTCCTCCAGTGTGTGTGTGTGTGTGTGTGTGTGTGTGTGTGTTGTGCATGTGTGTGTGTGTGTGTGTGTGTGTGCGTGTTGTGTGTGTGTGTGTGTGTTGTGCGTGTATGTGTGTGTGTGTGCGTGTGTGTGTGTGTGTGTGTGTGCGTGTGTGTGTGTGTGTGTGTGTGTGCGTGTGTTTGTGTGTGTGTGTGTGTGCGTGTGAGTGTGTGTATGTGTGTGTGTGTGTGTGTGTGTGTGTGTGTGTGTGAGTGTGTGTGTGTGTGTGTGTGTGTGTGTGTGTGTGTGTGTGTGTGTACTCACCTATTTGTACTCACCTATTTGTGATTGCAGGGGTCGAGTCTCAGCTCCTGGCCCCGCCTCTTCACCGGTTGCTAACTGGGCCCTCTCTCTCCCCGCTCCATGAGCTTTATCAAACCTCGTCTTAAAACTGTGTATGGTTCCTGCCTCCACTACGTCATTTTCTAGCTATTCCACTGCCTTACAACTCTATGACTGAAGAAATACTTCCTAATATCTCTCTGACTCATTTGTGTCTTCAACTTCCAATTGTGGCCTCTGTTTCTGTGTCCCCTCCCTGGAACATCCTGTCTTTGTCCACCTTGTCTATTCCACGCAGTAATTTTATATGTCGTTATCATGTCTCCCCTGACCCTCCTGTCCTCCAGTGTCGTCAGGCCGATTTCCCTTAATCTTTCTTCATAGGACATTCCCCTTAGCTCTGGAACTAACCTTGTCGCAAACCTTTGTACTTTCTCTAGTTTCTTGACGTGCTTTATCAAGTGCGGGTTCCAAACAGGTGCTGCATACTCCAGTATGGGCCTGACATACACGGTGTACAGTGTCTTGAACGATTCCTTACTAAGGTATCGGAATGCTGTTCTCAGGTTTGCCAGGCGCCCATATGCTGCAGCAGTTATCTGATGATGTGTGCTTCCGGAGACATGCTCGGTGTTATACTCACCCCAAGATCTTTCTCCTTGAGTGAGGTTTGCAGTCTTTGGCCACCTAGCCTATACTCTGTCTGTGGTCTTCTGTGCCCTTCCCCTATCTTCATGACTTTGCATTTTGGCAGGATTAAATTCGAGAAGCCATTTGCTGGACCAGGTGTCCAGTCAATCCAGGACTCTTTGAAGTCCTGCCTGGTCCTCATCAGATTTAATTCTCCTCATTAACTTCACATCATCTGCAAACAGGGACACTTCTGAGTCTAACCCTTCCATCATGTCGTTCACATATACCAAAAATAGCACTGGTCCTAGGACCGACCCCTGTGGGACCCCGCTCGCACAGGTGCCCACTGTGATACATCATTACGTACCATGACCGTTGTTGCCTCCCTGTCAGGTATTCTCTGATCCTTTTGCAGTGCCCTCCTGTTATTATTGCGCCTGATGCTCTAGCTTCTGCACTAATCTCTTGTGAGGAACTGTGTCAAAGGCCTTCTTGCAGTCCAAGAAGATGCGGTCAACCCACCTCTCTCTCGTGTCTTACTTCTGTTATTTTATCATAAAACTCCAGAAGGTTTGTGACACAGGATTTGTGTGTGTGTGTGTGTGTGTGTGTGTGTGTGTGGTGTGTGTGTGTGTGTGTGTGTGTGTGTGTGTGTACATTTGCTGTTTTCCAGATCTCTAGCAATTGGCCCATATCCACTAGACAGTATTTCTGCATCCTGTAAATGAATCCAAGGTGACACTGGATACATCTCGGTGATCTAGATACATCAAAGGCCCTTGATGTATCCAGTTCACTCAGATGTTTCTTCACCTCTTCCCAGGTTACGTGTATGTTTTGGCTCTGAAATAGCTGCTGTATCAGGGTTTTCTTCTCATGTGTTCTCTTTCATTCACGTCGTCACATTAGTGGATACTTCTCTCTATATTTTAGTGCCACATTATGTTGCTTCTATCTCTTGCTGTTCTCTGAGAAGCGGTTTTTTTTTTTTACTTCTGTAGGCACTGGACATAGATTCTCTGTAGAGTGATGGCACTGACTAGAATCTTTCCCTGTATTCACCATCCCCTTCAGAAATAAGTGGCATATTCCCTTCTCCATTTCTCTGTTGCTTCAATTTTTTTTCCATGTCACTCACTGTACCTTTTATTATCCTCCTCCGTTTGGTCTTCTCTGACACAGATTGTGTCAAGTTTGTGACATCCTCACTGATTTGATTTGATTTTCATTACTGGGAATATTGTTTCTAGCCTCACAAACAGAATTCGCAATGTGCGTGCGTGTCTAGCTTTGTGTTTGTTTATGCAGTCTGTCTGAGAAGCGGCTGAGTGCTTGAAATATGTGCGTGCGAGTGTCTCAAAGCTCCAGCTGCATATACATGTTCACTTTTACTGTGTTAGTTGACTATACTAATAGTATTATGTGTAAGGTGACGATATGTTTCTACCCTTGAAGTCAGAAGTATTCTGGCTGTATTTCAAAATTGTTTTTCAAAATTACTTTACCAGGTACATAAATTATCTTCACTTAGGAGAATTAAGCTTGCAACGACGACCTTTCGGTTCAACTTGGATCCTTAACTAGTCAATGGCCCAAGTTAATGGTCTACCTCGGACCGAAAAGTCGTCAAAATAACTTTATTTGGACGTGTCTCCTAAACTATGATGCTCTAAACTCCCGTGGAATTTTTCGTTCTCACATGTGGAAGTTTCTCGTCACCTTAACCTCACTATCCTAAATATTGTTTGAGAGTGAGTAGCCTACCTGCTATACAATGGTAAGTGACTGATACCTCTGAATATACACGTCCAAATTGTTCGTACAGTCGTAGGAGTCTAGCCTGTAATGACAGCAATAATTTATTACCAGACTACTCGTCTTCGGTGCTTTGGAGAGAAGTGCTCAGCCAACAGCAATATAACCCAGATATCTGACCAGTTTACTGAGACACAAAGATGATTGTGCTACACTAACTTAAGCCTCGTCTAAGAAGAGTAGATATCCATGGAGTCCTGAATATGTCGCTTATATTTTATTTATTCACTATTAATCACTCACCTCATCCCTGCACTCTGAACCATTATTCTGTTTCTTATTCACACATATTCTTTAATCCTATGATTTTATTGGCAGTCATGGCAATACCTGCCCTCAACACCTGTGCTCACACTGACATGTCTACACCTAACACACACTTTTAAACATAAACTTCTTTTATGTATATATGACTTATACCTTGTATAACTTTTCCTAGATTCGGTTGATCACTAATTACCGCTCAAACACTTGTAGTACGAGCGTGCTGGTTTCAAATGCTCTCAGGCTGCAGTCAGCTGTTAGATAGCTTGAGTGTGGATGTGGATTATGTATGTGTGTATGTGTACTCACCTTTTCGTGGTCTACCTACCTGGAGTCTGCCTGGTCCATGACCAGGCCTCCTGGTGGATCAGGGCCTTATCAACGAGACTGTTACTGACTTTAGGTGTCCGTCCAGCTCCCTCTTGAAGACAACGAGGGGTCTATTGGTAATTCCCATTATGGCTGGTGGGAGGCTCTTGAACAGTCTTGGGCCCCGGACACTTATTGTGTTTTCTCTTAGTGTACCAGTGGTGCATCTATTTTTCACTGGGGGCATGTTGCATCGTCTGCCAAGTCTTTTGCTTTCGTAGGGAGTGATTTCTGTGTGCAGATTAGGGACCAGTCCCTCCAGGATCCTCCAGGTGTAGATTATGATGTAACTCTCTCGCCTGCGCTCCAGTGAGTACAAGTCAAGTGCTTCCAAGTGTTCCCAGTAGTTAAAGGTGTTTGATGGAACTTATATGTGCAGTAAAGGTTCTCTGTACATTCTCTAGATCTGCAGTTTCTCCTTCCTTGAATGGAGATGTTAATGTACAGCAGTATTCCAACCTAAAGAGAACAAGTGATTTAAAAAGGGTCATCATTGGCTTGGCATCTTTCATCTTGAATGTTCTCATTATCCATCCTATCAGTTCCTCGCAGATGTAATAGTGGCATTGTTGTGGTCCTTGAAGGTGAGATCTTCAGACATTACCACACCCAGGTCCTTCACATTACTTTTCCGCTCTATTGTGTGATTAGAGTTTGTAGTATACCCAGCTCCAGTTATTATTTCCTCCAGTTTTCCATAACGGAGTAGTTGGAATTTGTCTTCATTGAACATCATATTGTTCTCTGTTGCCCATTAGAAAACTTGGTTTATATCTTCTTGGAGCTTTGCCGTGTCCTCAATGGATGACACACTCATGCAGATCCTAGTATCGTCTGGAAAGGATGATATAGTGCTATGGTTTACTTCTCTGTCTATGTATGATATGAGGATGAGGACCACTATAGGGGCGAGTACCGTGCCTTATGGAACAGAGCTCTTCACTGTAGCAGCTTCCGAGTTAACTCTTTGTGTTCGATTGGTTAGAAAGTTGAAGATCCATCTGCCTACTTTGCCATTTATCCCTTTAGCACGCATTTTATGTGCCATTACACCATGATCACACTTGTCAAAGGCTTTGGTTTGCAATTCTGTTTCTTGGAACTCTTTCAAAGATTTTTATGATGTGGGACGTTAAAGCTGTTGGTCTATAGTGCTGCCACCTTTATGGAGTGTGGCTATATCCGTTACTGGCTACAGCAAACCCTCAATTCTTTTGTTTGGCGAACATGAAATTCCCTCATCAGAGGGTGTTCAGCAGGGCGACCCACTAGCTCCACTTTTCTTCTGCTTGGCAGTAAGAGAACTAACTTCCAACTTGCGCAGTAAGCTCAACACCTGGTACCTGGATGATGGCATTCTGGCAGGTACTGAAGAGTCCCTGCTAGAGGACCTACAACTGGTGAAGACACAGGAAGAAGCCGTAGGACTCATCCTCAATCCCTCCAACCAACCAGGTAATAATCTCATCACAAGGAACCAGGTAATAATCACAGCTGTACGAACAATCCTTCCTGACCCAGTGGTAGGAGCACCACTGGGTCATCAAGCCATCGAGACAGTCCTCAAGGACAAATTGAATGACCTGAAGAGAATGGATGAGAGATTAAGTGATCTTGAAGCCCTTGATGCCCTGTATCTCCTCACAAGGTGTCTTACCTTGCCAAGAATCACTTCTTGAAGTGCTCAACCTCTTTCGACAACCCAACACTTAGCGAATATGACTCATTCTTGAGATCTATCTTTAAAAAGGCACTGAATCTGTCACTGGAAGATCAGCAACTCTCCCAGTGCGCCTGGGAAGTATATGGGTGCGCAAGGCAACGCAGGTAGCTTTACATGCATTTTTGTCCTCGTTTTTGGCTTCCAGTGGACTAGTCAAGGTTATTGTCCCAGAATGCTTGAGAGGTGGGGTAGGAGCTCAAGACCTCAGGTTCAATAAAGCAGCCACCCTGTGGCACACCCTTGCAGTCTCCTTCAGTAGACCAGCTCCTCCCAAAGAGCACATACAGTCCCACTAGGACAAACTGATCATGGAAAAAATTGCCAACACAATGCTCAACATTGTTTCAGGAAAGAACAAAGCCCATCTCCTAGCTGTGAAGGCACATCATTCAGGAGATTTTCTTTCAGTTGATCCTCCTTTCTGATTTATTTGAAAATCTCAAAGGAAGTGCTCATCTTGCCGACACTAACAGTGCTCTTGTCTGCCATGTCAGAGATCACAGACATGCTGTTAACTAGTCTCCAGGTAAAACTATCAACCTCTCTGGAAGCCTTCACAGACTCCGTAATGCTAAATACATTACTTGTACACAAAATTATTAGCATGAATGTTAGTTCTTATTTTATTCATATCTATGCTTAGCTGTCTCAAAACTGATCTTCAGAATACTCTTGATTTGACCTGACTTTTGCCTCCTCGCTTTTCCTTTTGACTTTTCCTGTTTCCTTATATTCTCATTTCTTGTTTTCTTTTTCCTGGGCCAGTATGCCTATGACAGTGCTCCTCCGCCTCTTGGAGGGATACAGAACACCTTAAAGGACGAGCACTGCAGCAGGCCTACTGACCCGTGCTGTTGCTGCTGCTGCTATTACTACCACCTCCTTTCTTTCTCATTCAGACCTTATTTTTCTTGTTTAGATTAGATGTGACTTGACAATGATCCAGGACTAATCAAAACGTTTCCATAAATTTCTCCTATATACGTGTTATTTGTGAGTAATGAACTGGTAATAAAAAAGGTTGGAACAGTAGTAGATACCGTATATCATCGAATTTTTTTCTCGCTTGCCAGCCTGAGTATCCGTGACGTCTAATAACTCTGTCATTAAATAATTTATGCAATTGTTAAGAGAGACTTATAGACTCATTTCTTCTCTATAATATTTTTTCAGCATAATTTTGCTTTTGTATTTATTTCAGGTTATGGAGGAAGCAGTACTTGCGGCTCCCGCACCATTCTCATGGTGTTGAGTCAACAGCTGTTACTCGGTCATCTGTTCCTCTAGTTAGTTTGTGTGTGTGTGTGTGTGTGTGCACGCGATCATCTCCTGCAGGTTGTGGTATCCAGCGTCATCCATATATCCCATGACAACAATCATCCATAGGCTTCACGAATTGATTTTAAAAGCTACCAAGTCAACTTGAGCAACAAATTACTTTACCCCGTTCCCTTACGCTATTATGAAAGCTATGGTGTGTTAGAGTATATAAGACACTGTAAGTCTATCTACAGAATTTGGCTCTGTGTAAAGAAAGACAACAACAGCTCGGTGGAACAAATACACAGATTCTTCATCGGAATTTCTCAGATCGCTTTAACACGAAATATATTGAAGCAGATAAAGTGTGACCTCTAAGTGAAGAAAAAGAAACAATGAGAATAAGGCAGAGTTGCAAGACTTTATAACATCATCAGTCACTCATGGTTAGTTGCAATCCTGCAGCTGCTTTGTTAACAACCTGCAGAAGATGATTGTTTGCAGTGTAAAAGTGACTTATGTTCATAGTCAAGCTAGATACAGATTATTATTTTATTTTTATACATTTAGGCATATATATAAGAATGGAAGAACATTGCTGCAGGCCTAGTGGCCCATAACAGCAAGCCTACTAGCCTGTTGTTATGGACCGCTTACCACTTATAAATAAGAACTGTTGCCTGTAGCCTGTGTTTATAAGGACCTCCCAACACAACTTGAATAACTGGTTAAATAATTCCGAATGTGATGAGAATTTTCAGAATCTTTGAAGTCATATAATGGACTTTAACCTTCCTTAACGAAAACATAAATTATATTTCAATGACTTGAAAGTCTAATAGTCACAAATGTCTCTGAATAAACTATCAATTTGGAAAATGACGAAGTATTTCAAAAGACAATATGAAAAACAATCGAAATACTGACGTGTGTTGCACAAAAATATTTTTTTGGAATTGACAACTGACGTAAGAGTCACGTAAATTAAATCTCTCCATATCACTTAATAATAAATAATATTTACTTTGTAAGTAAATAAATTATGCTCAGCTTTGAGAAAAAGTATTTTATTGAAGATGAAAGTATTTTGGTATTTTTCTGATGCAGATTATCAATATTTTTCATATTCGGTATTTGTGTCTGTGTGTGTTTTTTGTGTGTGCGTGTATGTGTTTGTGCGTGTGCGTGTGTGTGTTTGTGCGTGTGTGTGTGTGTGTGTATATATATGTGTGTGTGTGTGTGTGTGTGTGTGTGTATGTGTTTGTGCGTGTGTGTGTGTGTGTGTGTGTGTGTGTGTGTGTGTGTGTGTGTGTGTGTATGTGTGTGTGTGTGTGTGTGTATGTATGTATGTGTGTGTGTGTGTGTGTGTGTGTGTGTTTTGTGTGTGCGTGTATGTGTTTGTGCGTGTGCGTGTGTGTGTTTGTGCGTGTGTGTGTTGTGTGTATATATATGTGTGTGTGTGTGTGTGTGTGTGTGTGTGTGTATGTGTTTGTGCGTGTGTGTGTGTGTGTGTGTGTGTGTGTGTGTGTGTATGTGTGTGTGTGTGTGTATGTATGTATGTGTGTGTGTGTGTGT